CCAATTGAATCATATGAAAAGGCAATGTTTCACTAGTAAACCAGAGGAATCTAAGACTGTTTATAGGATGGACCTGTCAGGATGAAACATTATCTGCTTGCTCAATTCCCTGAAAGCAATTTTACAATTCTGTTTCTCTGATAAGTAAAGATAAACAGTAAAAGCTTATTAACTGACATAAATACATGATACTTTACCGTATGCCCTGTAGTGTACATAGGATTGTATATATGCACATGAAATTGCTTTTTTGATAGCTATATGTGGTTTTTTTTAGTTAAATCTACAGAAGGTCTGCTTATACTTCACAGTCGTACTGTAGGTTAGTCAAAACAAGTTAAAAATTTTGCACTATGACATATAATTTGTTGTGCCTTCTGCCAATGTTCTTTGCAGGATGCTCATGAGGAATCCAAGGCCATAACTAAGGCTGCTGCTATGAAAGGTAATTTATTTCTGCTTGATTGCATGCTTCAATAGGTGTTTCAGGAATTAGTTTCCATGATACTGTGAAACTTCAAGCTTGCCAAATAGGCATGTACAGTGAAAAAATGTTTTATATATTCTTAAGGTGACAAAATGTTTGTATCTTGCATTTAGATACCAACCTAAGTCACCTACAGACGATGTTAATTTTTGGATCCTACTTCATTTATTTGTACATTCTTTTTTCCAAATTCTGATATGACTTGTTACCATCACTTTTCTTCTTTTCAATTCTCATGGTCAATTGTTCTTGGTGGTTATGAAATGCATATATATTTTAGTGGTGGACTTGTGTTGTTATACCTGTATTTGGTGAAAATACATGTACTGTGTTCTTGCAATTTGTTTTTAAATTGACTTATCATTGTTTAAAACTTGGTTATGATCAACTGTGTACAATCTGCAGCAATCAAGAAACGAATGGAAAAGGATGTCGATGAAGTTGGAAAAATTGCCCGCCTTATTAAATCAAAAATTGAGGAACTTGACAAAGAGGTGAGGAAAAAATATAGCTCGTGATATTTAAAGTTGTCAAGACCTGTTCAGTAGTGTTATTATTTATTGTTTCCTCGTCTTACAGAATTTAGCTAACAGACAAAAGCCTGGATGTGGAAAAGGATCAGGGGTAGACAGATCAAGAACTGCAACTACAGTGTAATTTAGACTCCAATTCTCATGTCCCATATCATTATTCTATATGATGCTAGTGTTGCATGGCAGACATTTAAAATGACATAGTTTATAATGTTCATGAATTTTGAAAATTTGCTTTATCTGCATCAGACACGGAAACAGAGTTACCTACACATGATTGGTAGGCATGTGGATGATATCTTCTCACCAGCCAAATATTTTATCAAAAGAAAGAAATAATTACAAAATTAGAGTCCTCGTCCTCATATACATAGATAAGATAAATTAAAGACTAATGAACTATTCTCCACATCCACATTGCCCATACTTGAGTTGTAGCCCACGATGATATAAATGGGACAGCCCTACCCACAAGCAAATAGTATCAACAAAATGGTCGTTGAAACTCGATCATTCCTCCCATTCAAATTGACAGGATGACAGCCATTGGTACCATTTTACCATTTGAAATTAAAGTTTGTATATAGGCACGTAGGGGATTGCCATAAACCATTAGAATTGAGCTCATTATATAGTTTTGCTGTTTTTCTTATAGTTTGTCGACATCTGCATAAAATGGCCTGAGTAGTTAGCGATTATATCAGTGCTATGTAAGGATTTCACTATTTATAATGATTCCTTGCCTACATACATGCATAGACCCTAACCGCTCCACCCACCCCCACCCTTAGGGGGGGGGATTATCTTTTAATTTTAAGTTCACATCCTCTTGAATAGCACATTTTACTGGCTGATTCACCTTTCTCTTTGCACTTAGTTGTGTAATTCTTATGCGAACTTTCACTAGAGAAGGTTAAATCCGGTAATGATGTCAATTGAAGATAGGCTCATGGATTAGTTGTTTAATAAGTAGTAACATCCATCCTCTTCATTTTGGTGGTTGTCACCATTTTGTGATCTCAGATCAACATCAGAAATGTTTGTTGTTAACTGTTTGTAATTAAACTACTAAAACCCATTGGGTTTATTTTGCACCGGTCAGATAATCCGGGCAATGAGCAGAATTTATTTGAACAAATTTATGGGTCCATATATTAGCTAGCCTAAAAAAGCTTGTTAAGTCATACTCTGTCAGAATTATCCTCAATGTCTTGATCATTGTTGTTCAAGCTTTCAGAGAAGTTATTCTAATTTAATACTTATATGTATGTGTAATGATGCATTCCATAAAATGTTGTTTTCTAAATGATTGTTTTGACTTTAGTGCCATGAAGAAGAAGTTCAAAGACAAGATGTCTGAATTTCAGGTAGGTCAGATGTATGATATCTCTAAATGGTTTCATTTCTTTCCAACTTCTCTTCTATTTCTCACTTCTATTAATGAAAACTTTTGCAGACTTTAAGAGAAAGCATCCATCAAGAGTATCGCGAAGTAGTCGAGAGGCGTGTATTCACAGGTTTTAACCCTTTCCTTCTTGTAAAAAAGGTTGCAACTTTTTTCAATAACTTTCTTATAGTCCTGACAAATTGTGATGGTTTCTTGTTTCATGTGATCATTAGTGACGGGAAATCGAGCTGATGAAGAGGTAAATTCAGTTCTATTTATAATTTGAATAAATCTTAAAGCACAAATTTACTAAGTATTCAATTATACTTGCAGACAATTGATAGATTAATAGAGACTGGGGACAGCGAACAGATTTTCCATAAAGCAATTCAAGAACAAGGGCGAGGCCAGGTTAGCTATAACTTCTACCTTCTTTATTTGTCTTCTATCCCCTTTTAACCATTGCTTTATTTATTATTTTTTCATGCAGATAATGGACACGCTTGCAGAAATTCAAGAGCGTCATGATGCCGTTAGAGATTTAGAGAAGAAGCTTCTAGACTTGCAACAGGTATATGGTTTATTTGTTGGTGATGACAATAAGAATAAAATACCACTCAGCCACATTGCTACCGGCTATTAAACTCGATGTTTTGTCTTCTTGAACTCCCTCGTCTTGTTAAGATCAAATTAGTTAGATACTGTTATCTATTTATTTAATGCGTTTTCTTTGTGCACTTGTTTGATTTTAATCTATTCTTGGCCTTCTCACGTTCGAGCTTATAGTATTGCATATTCATACTATTGCTACTAGGTTGTGTTGAGTGTTTAGTGTTGACTGTTGAGTCTGTTAGCTATGAGCAAACGTAACTGTTTGTTTTCCCTTGCTTAATACCATCATTACCGTGTTTTGAAACCTTTTCACGGACCGGCAACTGCTGCTAAGCCGCATAGACATGCTAAATACTTAACTTTATAAAATTATATAATAATAGCTGGTGGTCATTAGTTGATTAGAGTGTAAAACTAAAAATCTTTAAATCTCAAATTTGATAGATTTCCCTTAAATTCATGCCTAATTGACATGCAGAAGCTGGTGAATCTCAGTTTGTTACCTTTCCACTTTTCATGTGTATATATATATGCCAAACATGTGTAAACCCAGGTAGTGTCTTGGATGGAAGATTTCACGCACCAAATATCATCAGATCCCTTCCAATTCGCCCCCCATATGTCCTACTTTGGTGTTTGCTTTTCAGGACTTGGAAATATTGTTTGTAGTTGCGGGAATAAATTTATTGCATGTTTGGTTGGTGATTAATTATAATTTAAGTGACTATAAGTTGTCGATCCTACAAAATGTGTAAATAAAAAGTGGGTAATAGTTATGGGTACTACAAAAATATGTGGATAAAAGTATGTTTGACGTGAAGTGATAATAAAATAATCACCAACTAAATATGCACTTTTTCTGCCCATGACTTGCACTATTCTCGACTACCTAAGTGATTAAACGAGTCTAAAAAGTGACTGTTAGCCTTGCATCTGTTTCTGTTCTCTTTCCTTTTTTTTCCTGCTATGTTATGAAGAAACTTTATTTCGAAATAACAAACTGAAATCCATAGAAAATGATTGCAAAAAATTGCGTAATTCTTTGATGTATTACCCGGCACAGATATTCATGGACATGGCAGTATTAGTGGATGCTCAAGGAGATATGCTCGACAATATTGAATCACAGGTAAAGAAAACTCGAACTCTCCCAGCTATCTTCAGGTTGCCTTGTGAGAACTATGAGCAAGCCATGTAAAAAAGCTATTTATGACCTTTTCGACCATAATTGATGTCAATTATTGAATTCTACAATGCGAAGATTTTAATTTCATTAATATCCAATCCTGCCCCATACCACGTAGCAAACATGCACTGTGTGCATATAGTAGACTGATCTCAACCGACCGATTTTCTCAGGTTTCATCTGCGGTCGACCATGTGCAATCCGGTAACACCGCGCTTCAAAAAGCAAAAAGTTTACAGAAAAACTCGAGGAAATGGATGTGCATTGCAATCCTCATTCTCCTTATTATCGTGGCAATAATCGTTGTGGGTGTACTGAAGCCATGGCAGAACAATAATGGTGCTTAGCTATTACCACACCATGTATTATATCAACACAAAAAGGATGCTAAATGGAATTGTTTTCCTACTTACACTTCATCTTCATTCTCGAGGTCAATTCGTTTAAATTTGTGTGAGTGTGAGTGGAACCAATTATATTTATATATGACACTCTATTTGTAAGTGTAATGTTCTATCTTAAAAAGTATGCACATTGTCTTCCTCTAGTTTTTACCTCCGATCAATAAGTAATTTTTTTTTTTTAAATTTCAACATCATAAAAAATTATTTATTTCAAATTTGATATATACTTATTAGAAGTTATAATAATTTACTTATAGGTAAAACATGCTTGGCCTGTCAATTGTTTAAGGAGAACTGAAGTGACATCGTTTGATGTTATTTTGGCAACACAATGTCGTTTTCATATCTTGAAAGTAAGCTCCTATTAGCCGATGTATATTTGCTCTAGTGGTAAGGACATTGGCATTGCTGGCTGAGGTTCCGTGTTCGAGTCCTCTTACCAGCATGGTGGTACTGTGCCTCTCCAAAAAATCCCTCCATACGTGTAGGGCCAAGCGGTGTATACTAACCCGTAGGGCCAGGCCGGAGGTGGGGTTTCTGGAGTATGGGGCCGCAGTGCGGTGGGGCCAGTCACTTTAAAAAGTTTACCCTACACAGTTGCCCCCCAGGGCACTTCTCCACTGGCAAAGGACGGACGCTGTCAAACCTGACAGAGCAGAGGTCGTGAGTTCGAAACACGGGGCTCTTGGAAGGCAAGGATTTATTCTTGGAAGGCAAGGGAACATTTGGAAGGCAAGGATTTATTCTTGGAAGAGAAGTAGGAACTTGGAAGGCAAGGATTATTCTTGGAAGGCAAGGTGCAACTTGGATTGGCTTGCTTGGCACTTTGTCAGACCAGGTGGGGAGCGCTCGGACCCTGGCCAGTTGGAGGCACATCCTGCGATTAACCGGACTGTGTGAAGAGGGGCCGGATCACAGACCCAAGGATTAGTCAAGAATTGGACACCTTGTAAAAAAAAAAAAAAAGTAAGCTCCTATTAGATAAAAATCATATTTTTATTAGATTTTGATAAAAGTTGATGTTATGGTTTCACATGTGCCTAAAAATCACTTGAAATCAAGAAATCTGCCACTAGAATTTTATCCCAATAACATGAAATAAGTATTTTTAAAAGCAATTTTATATTAAAATTAATTGATTTTTGAGTGCCAACTGTGGAATGAGAACGGCGCAAGCCTCACTGTGCTTTCTTTGATAGTTCACCATATTAGTTTTTCTATGCCCTACGTTTTTGTCTTTTGGCTGTTCAAAAATCCAAATATATATATATATATAAATAATGGTTATGAAATGGGTCAACTTTGAGCCCAAATTTCAGTGGGACCCACCTTTTAATTAATACGGGACCTAACATATTCACGTTCTACTCCGCGAGATGATTAACGTGATATATTTATTTATCGAAAATCATTTAAAATTGAATGAAATATTAAGTGTTAAAGTAACCCACATAAACTAAGGATTATGGAAGAATCTGATTTTCCAAATACTTATCCCACATAGGAAAGTTAGGAAACTTTGGTGTGGTTTATAAGGTGAAAGTTTGGAATTAGGTTGGGGCCCCAAGGGGTACCAATAGTCTTTGGAAGGGGGAAGACCTATACCCTATTGGGTTCGGTCATAAACCCACGCGCGCGCGCTGCCGTCCGACCGGTACGGCACGGCACGAGCACGTGTCCGAGTCCGGTGCCGGTACGGGTGGACCTTTACACTATATTAACTTTTTGGACAAAATTTTGGGCCAAATTGTAAATAATCAAATTCTTGGGTACAATATGAAATTTAAATTTTGGCTTATTCCGGGTGTTTTATTTTTTTTAACAGTCGACTGTTTACCGACCAAACAGCCGACTGTTAACTGACTTAACAGACACGACTTTTAAGAACAACATGTTTGTTCGGAATTTTGAGGCTTGTCTGAAAGGTGATGACTGTTCGAATGGCCACGAACAAGTCTATAAATAGCCAGCCTCTCTACCAGAAAATTTACACCATTTTCATTGCAAACTTTCTATGCTTTGAATCTCATTTTCCCTCTCTCTCGTTCTGATATTGTCTCGAAGTAAAACACACTTCGTTGAGTTTGTTGGAACTCCTGCAGATTGCAGTGCTGCTTCCGTAGGAGACGAAAATTCATTCTATCCTGAGAAACGATTGCTGGACGCCTTTAGCACCATTGAAGGCAACCAATTCGTTTTAAGGAAATATCGTGAAATCGGTGGGCTCGAATTACTGTTTAGATCCTGTTGATCAATTCTTACATTCAGGTGATTCTATCGGATTGTTTTCGAAGGAGTAACTTCAAACTCAAGAAACAACAATCTTAAAACGAATTTGCTGCCTATTATTATTTTGTTTCTGTTTCTACTCCTTCTTACCGTTGATCTTCTGATTATGTTTCAGAAATGGCAACTTTTGGTACCACACTCCCGAATACAACCGGGGAAAAATCAGAAAAGTTTAATGGGTCAGATTTCAAGCGTTGGCAACAAAAAATGCTTTTTTATCTGACGACGTTAAATCTGGTTAAATTTCTCAAAGAAAACGCGCCTTCATATACCGAGCAAGACAGTGATGCTGAAAAATTGGCTGCGGTTGATGCATGGAAGTATTCTGATTTCTTATGCAGAAATTATGTACTTAATGGACTGGATAACACATTATATAATGTGTACTGCAATGCTAAGTTCGCAAAAAAAAACTGTGGGAATCTTTGGACACAAAGTACAAAATCGAAGATGCCGGCACGAAGAAATTCATTGTCGGTCATTTTTTGGATTATAAAATGGTTGACAACAAGACTGTCATATCTCAAGTTCAAGAACTTCAGATCATACTTAGCGACATCCATGCCGAAAGAATGAAACTAAGTGAATCATTCCAAGTCGGTGCACTAATTGAGAAATTATCACTTTCATGGAAGGATTTCAAGAATTACCTAAAGTACAAGCGAAAGGAAATGAAACTTGAAGATATCATTGTCTGATTGAGAATTGAAGAAGACAATCGCAAAACTGAAAAAAGAAATGGTGCATCTAATTCGATGGAATCAAAAGCCAACATTGTAGAAGGAGTCTTCAAGACAAGCAAAAAGAGGAAGCACAATGGGGAAGGACAAATTGGTTCTTCAAAAACTGCTAAAAAGTTTAAAGGCAACCGTTACAATTGTGGCAAGGCAGGACATCGATCCAAGAATTGTCGAAAGCCAAAAAATGTGAAGGAAAAACTAACCAGGCCAATGTAACAGAACATGAGAACCTCACTGATAAGGTACAAGACATGAATCTTTCTGCGGTCGTATCTGAATGCAACTTAATTGGAAACACTAAGGAGTGGTGGGTAGATACTGGAGCTACTCGTCACATATGCTCGAATCGCGGGATGTTCTCTACAAAGCAATGGATCATGATGAACATCTCTACATGGGAAACTCGTCATCTTCCAAGGTAGAAGGACATAGGAAGATAGTGCTGAAAATGACAAGTGGAAAAGAGCTCACTCTGAATGATGTTCTTCATGTGCCCGATATTAGGAAAAACTTGATATCTGGTTCTCTACTAAGTAAGAACGGGTTTAAGCTAGTATTTGTCTCGGACAAATTTGTACTCTCAAAGAATGAAATGTTTGTAGGAAAATGCTACCTGAATGAGGGGCTTTTTAAATTGAATGTAATGACTGTTGTACCTCCAATTATGAATAAGAATAAATTTTCTTCTTACTTGCTTGAGTCATTTAACATTTGACATGGACGATTAGGACATACAAGTTATAACACTTTGTGTAGACTAATTAAATTAGATTTATTACCAAAGTGTGATTTAAATCCTAATCACAAATGCGATATATATGTAGAAGTCAAAATGTCACGTCTACCCGTTTGTTCTGTTGAAAGAAGTACCGAACCCCTAGATTTAATTCACACCGACATGTGTGATTTAAAATTTGTTCAAACTAGAGGAGATAATAAGTACTTTATCACTTTTATCGATGATTGTACTCGATATTCCTATGTGTATTTGCTCAAAAGCAAAGACGAAGCAATTGAAGTATTTAAACACTACAAGTTAGAAGTTGAAAATCAACTTAGCAAAAAGATTAAGGCCATAAGAAGTGATAGAGGTGGTGAATATGATTCACCATTTGAGAAATTCTGTTCGGAATCGGAATTATTCATCAAACTACCGCGCCTTATTCTCCTCAATCTAATGGTATTGCTGAACGCAAGAATCGAACATTGAAGGAGATGATGAATGCTATGTTAATAAGTTCTGGATTACCGCAGAACTTGTGGAGGGAAGCCTTGCTTTTTGCCAACTATATTCTTAACAAACTACCACATCGAAAAACGCAAAAGATACCTTATGAAGTATGGAAAGGTCACAAACCTAATTATAAATACTTGAAGGCACGGGGATGTTTGGCTAAGGTAGTAGTTCCTAAACCTAAAAGGGTTAAGATAGGACCTAAAACCATTGATTGTGTATTCATTGGTTATGCCTACCATAGTAATGCATACAGATTTATGGTATATAAGTCTGAAATACCTGATATGTATGTTAATACAATTATTGAATCAAGGGATGCTACATTTTTCGAAAATACTTTTCTTCATAACATGCAAGGTGAATCAAATTCACAAAAGAGATCTCGTGAAAACGAAGAGAATATAGATCAAGAATCTATAAATGAACAACCTAGACGAAGTAAGAGGGCTAGGACGTCAACCTCCTTTGGGCCTGATTTTCCAACGTATTTGTTAGAAAATGAACCTCAAAATTTTAAGGAGGCTATGTCATCAACCGAAACTTCATATTGGAAAGAAGCTGTTCATAGTGAAATTGAATCCATACTACAAAATCATACTTGAGAATTAGTAGACCTCCCTCCCGGTAATAAGCCTTTGGGATGTAAATGGATTTTCAAAAGGAAAATGAAAGCAGATGGATCAATCGACAAATATAAAGTAAGACTTGTCGCTAAAGGCTACAAGCAAAAAGAAGGTCTTGATTATTTCGATACCTATTCTCCTGTAACAAGAATCACATCCATACGTATGCTTATTGCAATAGTAGCATTGAATGGTTTGGATATACATCAAATGGATGTTAAAACGACATTTTTGAATGGGGAATTGGATAAAGAAAT